AGGACGACGCCCGTAGGCGGCAACCGCAAGGTACTCTTCAGGGCGACTTCCCGCGGCGGATAGGCAAATCCGCTGGCAGCTGATCTTTCCCCATCCAGTCCTTCCCCTATGACGAGTAGGAGCTGTACGGGTACAAAGTGGTAGCAGCAGTACTATTACTACTACTACTACTACTACTACTACTACTACTGCTACTACTTCTGCTACTCAAGACGCCTTAAACCCTACACCACTCCAACTACACTGACTACCTCTGCTACCTACTACTCCTCCCGACTACTACTCACTACTACTACTAACTACTACTACTACTACTTCAACAACAACTACTACTACTACTACTACTACTACTACTACTACCACTACTACTACTACTGCCTACTACCTACCACCGGCTACCTACTAACTACTACCTACTACCTACGACCTACTACCTACTACCTACTACTACTGCTGCTACCTACTACTACGACGGCGACTACTACTACCACAACTCCTACTACTACGTCCACTACTACTACTACTACGACTACGACTACTACTACTACTACTACTACTACTACTACTACTACTACTACTACTACTACTACTACTACTACTACTACTACTACTACTATTACTACTACTACCTACTACTACTACTACTACTACTACTACTACTACGACTATTACGGCTACGGCTACGACTGCTACGGCTGCGACTACGACTACGACCACTACTATTCTTACCACGACGACGACTACGACGACGACGACTACTACTACTATTACCACCACTACTACTACTGCGACTACGGCTGCACCTACGGCTCCAACTACTGCTACTCCCACTGCTACTGCTACTACTACTACTAGTACTACGACGACGAATACTACTACGATTACGACTACTACTACTACTACTACTACTACTACTGCTGCTGCTGCTACTACTACTACTACTAATAATACTACTACTAGCACTACTACCACTACTACTATTATTATTACTACTACGACTACTACTACTACTACTACTACTACTACTACGACTACTACTACTACTACTACTACTACTACTACTACTACGAATGCTACTACTGCCACTACTACTACTACTACTACTACTACTACTACTACTACTACTACTACTACTACTACTACTACTACTACTACTACTGCTACTAGTCTTACCACCACGAATACTAAGAATACTGCTCTACCGCTACTGCTACTACTATTATTATTACTACTACTACTACGACTACTACTACTACTACTACTACTACTACTACAACTACTACTACTACTACTACTACTGTTACAACTGATACTACTACTACTACTACTACTACTGACTACTACTACTACTACTACTACTACTACTACTACTACTACGACTACTCCTACGACTACTACTACTACTACAAACACTACTACTACTACTACTACTACTACTACTACTACAACTACTATTACTACTACTACTACAACTACTACTAACTAACTACTACTACACTACACTACTGACACTACTACTACTCACGACTACTACTACTACGGACTACTACTACTAACTACGACTACTACTACTAAAAACTACAACTAACTACTACTACTACTACTACTACACTACTCACTACAACTACTACGACTACGGCTATTATTTCCACATGTTTTGTGTGGGTTGGTGGCTTTCTTCCCTGCCGCGCCGCACCCGCGTCTCACACCTCCCCCCTCCCCTTCTCCTTCTCGCACAGCACAGCACAGCACAGCACAGCACAGCACAGCACGGCACGGCACGGCACGGCACAGCACAGCTCACCGCACAGCAGCACAGCACAGCACAGCACAGCACAGCACAGCATACCACACAGGGCATTCCTTCGACGCCACAGGGGGTGGGGGTGCGCAGAGGGTGGTCCCTCAGCGCGGCCTCTATCCGTGACACGCTCGCAGATCGTGGCAGGCGTGGCACTTTCTCGACCCCACAGGGGGTGCGCAGAGGGTGGTCCCTCAGCGCTGCCTCTATCCGTGACACGCTCGCAGATCGTGGCAGGAGTGGCATTTTCTCGAAGCCGCAGGGGGTGCGCAAAGGGTGGTCCCTCAGCGCGGCCTCTATCCGTGACACGCTCGCAGATCGTGGCAGGAGTGGCACTTTCTCGACACCACAAGGGGGTGCGCAGAGGGTGGTCCCTCAGCGCGGCCTCTATCCGTGACACGCTCGCAGATCGTGGCAGGAGTGGCACTTTCTCGACGCCACAGGGGGTGCGCAGAGGGTGGTCCCTCAGCGCGGCCTCTATCCGTGACACGCTCGCAGATCGTGGCAGGAGTGGCACTTTCTCGACACCACAGGGGGTGCGCAGAGGGTGGTCCCTCAGCGCGGCCTCTATCCGTGACACGCTCGCAGATCGTGGCAGGAGTGGCATTTTCTCGACACCACAGGGGGTGCGCAGAGGGTGGTCCCTCAGCGCGGCCTCTATCCGTGACACGCTCGCAGATCGTGGCAGGAGTGGCACGTTCTCGACACCACAGGGGGTGCGCAGAGAATGGTCCCTCAGCGGTGACACGCTCGCAGATCGTGGCAGGAGTTGCACTTTCTCGACGCCACAGGGGGTGCGCAGAGGGTGGTCCCTCAGAGCGCCATCTATCCGTGACACGCTCGCATATCGTGGCAGGAGTGGCGTGGCGCTTTCTCGACACCACAGGGGGTGCGCAGAGGGTGGTCCCTCAGCGCGGCCTCTATCCGTGACACGCTCGCAGATCGTGGCAGGAGTGGCACTTTCTCCGACACCACAGGGGTTGCGACAGGTGTACCCTCAGCGCGGCCTCTATCCGTGACACGCTCGCAGATCGTGGCAGGAGTGGCACTGTCTCGACACCACAGGGGGTGCGCAGGGGGTGGTGGTCCCTCAGCGCGGCCTGTATCCGTGACACGCTCGCAGATCGTAGCATGAGTGGCATTTGCTCGACACCACAGGGGGTGCGCAGAGGGTGGTCCCTCAGCGCGGCCTCTATCCGTGACACGCTCGCAGATCTTGGCAGGAGTGGCACTTTCTCGACACCACAGGGGGTGCGCAGAGGGTGGTCCCTCAGCGCGGCCTCTATCCGTGACACGCTCGCAGATCGTGGCAGGAGTGGCACTTTCTCGACACCACAGGAGGTGCGCAGATGGTGGTCCCTCAGCGCGGCCGCTATGCACGACGGTCGTCCAGGGCATAGCAGGCGTGGCACTTTCTCGACACCATAGAGGCTGCGCAGGGGGTGGTCCCTCACCGCCGCGGCCGCTATGCACGACGGTCGTCCAGGGCATAGCAGGCGCGGCATTTTCTCGACACCACTGGGGGTGCGCAGGGGGTGGTCCCTCACCGCGGCCGCTGGCTGGCTCGAATCTGTCCTCGACGGAGGATAGAAGGCTAGGAAGAGGGAGGAGGTTCAAGCAATATGGCGTTGGATGACACATAGGGGAACATTCGCGACGAGGGCTGAGAACGCAGAATTGCACATATATCATAAACTTAAGCAAATACTCAACATTTAAGTTAAATATGTGGGGTTCCTCGGTAGCGTAATTTCTCCTCCTGATAGATGCCGGGGCTGTGCCGCGGGGCCCGACCTTCCTCCCGAGTGTCCTCTGTTTCCAGCCCCGGGCGGGCGCAGAGAGGGCCCCGAGAGCCCCGAAGGCAGGGAGACCCTCGGGGCCCGCTGCCCTCCCTCTGAAGGGGCCCTGGGACACACACGAACAAATACACACACAACACAACTAAAGGGATTCCCCTATACGTTCTCATATTTGCAGGGCTTTCGTCAGCGCCCCTCAAACGGGGACTCCACTAACGGGTACTTTGGCCAGTGACCCAGCGAACCCAACCCTCCCCGATGTGGGCAAAGCTGCAATGCAAGAAAAAGGCCCTAAAGTGGCAACTTTCGGCAAAACTTCAAAGTACCCGTTAGTAAGTACCCGTTACGGTGCCGTTGATTTCGTCCTCCCCCCCTCTTCCCACATGTTCCCACATCTTCCTCGGGGCCGACGATGGACTGTGTCTGTGTTCTCTTGTCTTCCCCCCCGACAAGCGCGTGCCCCTACCAGCAAAGCAGCTGCGCGCAAAGTGGCCCGGACCCGCCGCGGGGGACTCACGATCCCCCACGCCGAGGCACGCACGCTTTTGTTTGTTCAGAGGTCTGCGAGAGTATGCACTCTGCGAGTAGCGGAGCGCGATGGGTGACTCGGGCCCTGGCCGCTCCGGGGCAAGCCTCCTGCCTCTGCGACGACTCGCTGGGAGCACCTTCGCCTCGAGAGGCCCTCAACGAAAACACATCCCGGGTGTTCCTCGAGGGGGGCCCCGGGAAGCCCCTCGAGGGCCCCTCTCCTGCAGGCTTCGATAAGCTCCCTCACGCAGCGCCTCCTCGATACAGGTGTCGGAAACAATTAGGCAACACCCATGCAGAACACATGGTTTGAACCCTCCCCCCCCCCCTCCCGCCAAAAATGCAATGCTGGTCCCGGATCTTCCGCTTTGGGGGCCTCCGGGCGGTCTTGCGAAAGCCTGTCAACTTTGAACTGCGGGGGAGGGGGGGGTGTTGCTGGATTGGTGCCCTCAACCGCACGCCACGCCCGCACCCTCGGCCGCCTCATCCTCGCCGCCCCTCCCCGCTCCGGCGGGCACCTGCCCGGCCGCTGAGCCCCCCCTGGCCGGCCCGGCTCTTGCGCTAACGCTGCACCGCCAGTGCAATGCCCCGTCCCCCATTCGCCCCACGAGAGAGGGGGGGACAGTAGATGAACAATATATTCGAACCCTCTCACATTCGAGGGAGATCCTAAATCACCCCCGCGCCCCCGACGTCAATGTTGATCTCAGTAAAGGCGGTGCTTTGGGGTTCGAATACTTCTGTCCACTCACGCCCCCCCCCGTCGCCACGCCATCAATATTAATTTCGGGGGGTCCGGGGGGCATCTTGGGCCACAGGGTTCGAATATAATGTCCATGTACGGGAGGGGAGAAAAAGGAGCCATCCTGGTCGTCCTTCCCTCCCACGCAGCGGCGCCCGCACAGGGGGCTCTCACTGGATTGGCACCGTGCAGCGACGACATCCGCTTTCGGCGACTGGAGCGGCGGAAGGTTCAGGCAGTGCTCCATGGACGCCGTGTCCTGCGGCGCTAGCCGACGGGGTGGGGGGAACGGGAGGGGAAGCGGGGAAGGGATGGGGGGGGGATGGGGGGGAAGGGTGAGGAGGAGAAGGAGGAGGACGAGGAGGAGGAGGAGGCAACGGTAAAAGCGCGTGGGGGGCCGCCATGCAGTAGCGGCAGCAACCCCTCGTCGGCCCACGAAAACTCAAATCTCCGCGAAACCCCCGCCTGTCCAGACGCGGTGCCGCGAAGCGCCGCGGATGTGCCGACGTTCACCCTCCACTGCACGTGCGCATACGGTCGGGAACTTTTGCTCAGCGTGTCGCCGCGGCGGCCCCGGCGATGCGATATGCCCTGCGAGCGGATGGCGTGTCTCGATGATCCTCAGAACGTGTGCTAGCGGCAACGTGTGTCTGTCCGCCGAGACCGCTCCATACGAAGCAGTCGATGTAATCATATACTGGTGGAGCTCAACGGGGTGAACACACATTGGGTCAACACACGTCCTGGGGATAATCGATGCGAGGCGGGGATTTATCCATATCCACCGCCTGGGAACCGACGTCCTGGTGCCCCAGCGGGCGGTGGATATGGATATATTTCGGCCCCCGGGGGCCCGAATATGTCCATATCCACCGCCTGCCGAGGCTCCGAAAACTGACCCTCCAGGCGGTGGTCATGTATAACTTCCCGCCTCGGAATCACGATTCATTCAAAGTCGCGATCCCACATGGGGCTTCCTCACGATTTATCCAGGCATCGCGCTCTCGCGTGGGACTTCCTCATAATTGAATGAGACACCGCGCCCTCGACGCTCAAGAATCAGGCTCTCTCCCTGAGCTTCCTCACGATTTGATTGGGAATCGTGCTATCGCTCTATCGCTCGAGACTTCCTCGCGATTCACACAAGACTGACGCTTCAGCGACCCGCCCGCTCGACCCAGCCGACTGGGTCCACCCGCCCGCCCCGCCCGTTAGGGTCCGCCCGCCGGACCCGCCATTCTGGTTTTACCGCTTGTTTTCCGTTACCCCCCTCCTGCTAATCTCGCTCGCGCTCTATCCCTCTCCCTCCCCCCTGTCCCTTTTCCTCCTCCCTCTCTTCCCCTGCGTCAGGGGCTGCGCGAACTACACGTGGCAGGCAAGGAAGAGATACCCCCCAAGGGGGGGCAAGATCGAAGACGCCGAGGGCGGGTATCGAGGGCTCGGGACTTTCAGGTTGAATGACACGCGAGCTAACAAGTTGTGGTTGATTTTAGCAGTATGCTGGATTTCCAGACTTCAGCGGCAGCGTCCGTACCAGGCTGCGGGTAGTAAGAGGTACAGAGGCTACGAGCCCATCTGAGCCGTCCTCTCTGCAGCCTGGATGTACTTCAAGTTGCTTGAGTCTGGTTGGGAACCTGGTACCTCCTCCTCCTCCTCCTCCTCCTCCTCCTCCGCCTCCGCCTCCGCCTTCTCCTCCTCCTTCTCCTCCTCCTCCTCCTCCTCCTCCTCCTCCCTCCTCCTACCTCTCCTCCACCTCCGCCCGTCCACCCCCGTCCTCTGTTACCGCTCCCCTTCTCCAACCTGCTCCTTGCCCCTCCTCTTACGCCTCCCACTTCTCCTCCTCATCCTCCCCTGACGTAACCTGGCCGAGGAAGGCTACCCGCATAGCAAAGCGGCCAAGTGGAACTTTGCGTGGAACCTTGATAAGGCAGCGCGCGGAGCGTGTCCAGGCCTCCGCGCAGCCGCAGGCGAATTCTCAACACCAGTGGAGGCCTCTTGCGCAGTGGAGAGCAAGGGGCCCAGTAGGGTGATCAACACTCGAGCATTGCTCAGCAGAGGAATCCTAAAGTTCCGACGAAGACGATGACGACGACGGCGATGCCGACGGCGTTGGCGACCAGGACGACGCCCCCCCTCTCGCTCCACGTCGTATATGCGGAGCCCGCCGTCGTAGAAGCCGCCTCCGGAGCGGCGCCCGAGGAGGAAGACGAGGAAGAGAAGGAAGAACAGGAAGGGTATGATCACGCAGAAGAGGAGGAGGAGGAGGAGGAAGAGGAGGATGAGGATGAGGAACTACCAGGATCGAGCCACGTGATCTTAGATCTCATATCCCTGGGCCCTTCATGCCTCCTCGGTCCCTTTAGCCTCTGGGCCCTCATCCTCCAGTCTCCACCACTACATGAAAGAAGGCAGCACGTCCTGATGTTGAAATTCGAGGCGCCCTTTTCCGTTCGGTGTAAACCTTGCTCGGATCAACCCAACATTGGTGGTGCCTTGGTGCATTTTGAGAGGAACTATTCGCGACAACAAGAGCACAACGAATGCCGCCAACTCTAGCCACTTGCGCGGGCGAATGCCCTCCCTCGGGCACCGGAAGCTGCAACGCGGTCCGAGGCTAGACCGCCATGCGCTCGACACCCGAGCCGAGCATCCGAGATCGGCCCAGCAGGCTCTCAGGGCACCCCGTACTGCGCGCAGAAGGCCTCCAGCGTGGCCTCGTCATGCCGAGCGGGGTCGCGGTTGCGGCCGCCGAGGCTGTCGCAGTACGTGTGCCAAGCGTCCTTCTGAGCTTGGCCCATCCTCTGGTAGGCCTTGATCCTCTGCACGGTCGGGCTCCCGGCCGAGGGGCCCATGCCGGAAGCCATGCCGCTCAGGGGGTTGTTCGAGTAGCCGCCCCCGCCCATGCCGCCCATGCCGCCCATGCCGCCCATGCCGCTCATGCCTCCCATGCCGCCCATGCCGCCGCCCATGCCGCCCATGGCCATGCCCCCACCGCCGCCCACAGCCATCTGGCCCAGAAAGTCGAAGAAGCCCTCCAGGAAGTCGGCACTGTGCTGCGCCGGGTCGTGCTTCGGCTTGCCGTCCACCATCTTCGTGTTGGCATACATCTCCCAGAGCTGCTTCCAGGCCGGGGACTTCCTCTTGCCCTGCTTGATGTACTCCACCAGCTCCTTGCCCGCGGTGGACTCGAGGCGAGCACCGGCCTGGTACTGCGTGACGAAGCTCTCGATGAAGGAGATGTCGTGCTTCGCTGGGTCGCGGATGTTGTTGCCGTAGGCCTCGACGTAGGCGTGCCACTGCTCCTTGGCCACAGGATCCGAGCGCTGCATCTGCTTCAGCACATCCACCATGGCCGACGCCGGAGAGGCCCCTCGGAAGCCGAGGGCTGCAAAAGCGGGCGCGGAGTAAAACTTGTCTACGGATCCGAGCCGTCCTGAGCAAACATGGCTGCGGACGAGGATATATTGTGCTGGCGCGGGCGGCGGGTATACGAGACAGCCGACTCCCTAGAGGCAAGACCTCGACAGGAGGGGGAAGAAGAAGAATAAGAAGAAAAAGAAAGACAAGAAAAGAAGAAACAACAAACAAACAGCACTGATCTTTCGGAGTCCCGCGCGGATTCACTCTCGGATCGGCGCTGGACCCCTGCCTGGTGCGCGGAGCGCGCCAGTGGCGGCGCAAGAGGCGCCGCCAGGGGGGTCCTGCGCCGATACAAGAAAAACCCACGCGGACGCCCCAAAAGTTTATGTTTATGCCGATGTGTCTCATCCTCCTCCTCCTCCTCCTTCTCCTCCTCCTGCTCCTCCTCCTCCTCCTCCTGCTCCTCCTCCTCCTCCTGCTCCTGCTGCTCTCCCTCCTCCTCCTCCTCCTCCTCCTCCTCCTCCTCCTGCTCCTGCTCCTCCTCCTCCTCCTCCTCCTCCTGCTCCTCCTGCTCCTCCTGCTCCTCTGCCTCTCTGCTCCTCTCCTCCTCCTGTCGCTGCTGCGCTCTCCCTCCTCCTCCTCCTCCTCCTCCTCCTCCTCTCCTCCTCCTCCTCCTCCTCCTCCTCCTCCTCCTCCCCCTCCTCCCCCCTCCTCCTCCTCCTCCTCCTCCTCCTCCTCCTCCTCCTCTCCTCCCTCCTCCTCCTCCTCCTCCTCCTCCTCCTCCTCCTCCTCCCCTGTGCGATCGTTTTTTATTCATTTGTCGATCGGCGCGGGCCCCCAAGTTCCCCCCCCCCCCCATGGAGTGGATCCTGGCTGTTTGTGGGCGCCTGTTTCGAGCAGGTGGGCCTCCCCCACACCAGACGCCTCGCTCCAAACAGCCCGCACTCAGCAGAGGTCCGGAGCCAGACCCCCCCCTCCCCCCCCCCTTCCGCCCACTGTCGAAACGCCGAAGGAAAAACCTGGACCTTCCCCGCGTGACCAGATCTCGATTTTGCGCTGGCGGGGCCTGCGCCGAGGTTACGGGCTTGAACATGCGTGGATTCATTCTGCGCAGCCACGAGGGACAGCCTGAAGAACAACTCGTGACCAGCACTATCTTGTGTTCGAGGGAGTGGGCGCGCGCGTGCGAGCATGCCAGCGAGATCGGCGATGCTCGGCACGAGAGAGCACATCGCTGTTGAAGGGTTTCCATGGCTCGCGGAAGCCGTTGTCTGCGCTGTCTTTGCGAACGAGGTCGGCCATCGACGAGCGATGACTGGCCCACAAGCCCGCAAACTGCTCAGCGATCCCACAACCCCTTCACCATCCCGCCTCCTCACCCCATCTCCTTCCTCCCCGCCCTCCTTCCCTCTCGCCGTCTCACCATCTTTCCTTCTTCCCCCTTCCTTTCCTCCTCGCTCCTCCATCCTCCTAGGTCACCCGAGGGTGCCCGAAGATAACCGCGCTTCGTGCATCGCGGCTTGGATTGGAGAATGCTGGAGAAGCCGCCCTTCTTTAAGGCGGCGGTGCGAGGGCGCGAAGATAATCGCGCGTCGTGGGGCGCGGTGCACGATGTGCGAAGTTATGTGACCTAGGCCAGGTGAATCCCAGGAAGGCTTGTGTTTTTCGGGCCATGACGCTGGCCTCCGGCGGCCGTTCGGGAAGTTCCACGCACACCAGGAACGCGCGTAATTGGCAGGTCGGCGTCCAGTCTCCTCGCGCCTCGAGCTCCACCACTGGCCCGACAGGGCAGTTTCTGATACATAGGATTTTTAAACATATAGGACTTTTAATACATGACTAATGTATTAATAAATATATGCATGAACTCCTCGTTGTTTTTAATACTAAATCCCTACATGTGTAATACATGGTCCGCACGCGGAGCATGTATTAAAACGGCGCTGTAGTCTGCACTCCGATGGCGGCCGGAATGGTGGGTCCGCCGCGTCTTAGCATGTGCATTTGCGCATTGGCTGCCTGCATGGACGCAGCCTGGTCTGAGAGCACGTCATTCAGACAGGTCTGCTGATCTGCAAGCACCAGACAAAAGGGGGAAACGAGGTTGCCCTCCCACCCCCGCCTTCGTCGATGGATGCGATCATCGCCAGACTGGTTGCCTCTGGCTTCGCGCCGCATGACGCCGGCCAGGTCGCCGAAGACATCGTGGCACAAGAATGCCAGCTCGACAGCGGGGCATCCCAACATTTTCTCGCTATGTTGAGCAAGCTGAACCAGCAATCGTGAGTCGACATCGAAGACGTTTGCCAGGCGCATCCATACACCGTCCAACTCGCTGGACAGATGTTTCGCCGCTTCTTGTGTTCGGCCACGATATTGAACGGAGTTGGATAGCGCCCCGTTGCCGAGGGTTCTGCTTCACGAGCTCTCACCTGGTGCCCTTCTGCTGGGCGTCGGTGAGGGTACGAGCATGGGGAGTCCCATCCAGCACGTCCCTCCAACTCTCCACCCCCTACAGTCGAAGCCGATAGTAAGGATGGACAACCTTCCCAAGGATACCCTTGCATCCTTGCCTCCTCGGTCCGTCCTCAACCCCTTTCGATGGCCAGCCCCGCTCGATAAGCTTCGACATGGGCGTCCAAGGGGTCCGCATCCTCATCCCGCATCCTTACCAGCAGGGTTGACTGTACCCTTCGGTCGGGCATGTCATTCTGCAGGCGGATTTTGGGCGACCAATCGAACATGGTCAAAGCAATAACCAAACATGACAATAACAAAAATCGGAAAATCGCCCGCAGACTATTTTATGACTATTTCTGGACCTTCCTCCTGCAGAGGGACATGCCCGACGGAACTGTACCCCCTCCTCCCCCCGCTCCCGTCTCTCCCCTCCTCTCCCCCCGAGGGTTGTGAATGCCACGACAATGGACACCCTAACGGTCCTATCATTGAAATATAACTGTTCTTAGAATGTAGGAAACGTGTTCTAAACATGGTTTAAACATGGTTTCACATGTTTAGAAGATGTTTAATACATGTTTAAAGCATCTGGGAATGATTTCGCAACATGCCTCCTCTGACGAACGAAAAACACACACCCATGCCCATAGGGAGGTCGTTGGGAGGAGGACTGGCTATGGGTATGGGTGCGGGATGTCGGACCCTGGAGAACGCTCCCGTTCGAGCGGGGACCTCCATCCGACATCACGCACCCATAGCCCTCTCCGAACCCCCCTATGGATATGGGTGCGTGTTGTTGTTTCGTCATCCCCCCACGATTTCTGAGGGGGAGGGTGGGGTTCACTTCTCTCGAGAGCTCCCGAACGAAGTGAACCCCACCGTCCCCTCAGAAATCGTGGGGGGTAGGGGTAGGGTTCACATGTGGCCCCCGACCCGCTTCGTCACCGCCTCCTCTTGCTGCTCGTCATCACTGCGGATGCCATGACAACGGACACTCCGACAATCCTGTCGTTGAACTGAGGATGTGTGTTGAAGAGCGTAAAGCATGCTTCAAAAATGCTCCAAACATGTTTGGGCATGTTTAAGACATGCTTGAAACAGTTATTGGACATCTGGAAATCATGTCGCAGCATGCTTCCTCTCCATTAGTCGACGTCCACAACGTCATCGCCCGTTCCTCGTCGTTCCCTGCCCGGCCTCTGCCGGGAACTGGCAGGAAGACAGCGCGCAGGAGCGCAGACGCAAAAGAGAGAGAGAGAGAGAAGCAAGCAAGCAACGAAGAGAGAAAGAGAGAGAGACCCGCGCGCCTGCAATCTGCGAGCCGTCTGGCGAGAAGCGGAGTACCTGGCAAGTGCACAGAGAGGGAGAGAGCGAGAGGGAGAGAGAGGGAGAGAAGAGAGAGAGACAAAGAAATAAATAAAGAACAATACATCGAGAGGCACATGAGAGAGAGAGAGAAACAAAAAAAGAGAGAGAGAGATAAAAAAGAGAAAGAAAGAAATAACAAGAAAGAGGGAAACAAATGCCATCAAATGACATCCCCTGGCCCACCTGGGAGGCCACCAGGCTGTGCGGCTGAGCCATCAGAGGTCACAGGGGGCCGGCACACGGTGCGCAAGAGAGACAAGCTTGCGCCGGCAGGCTGCACAAAGGCCCGGGAGAGAAGACGCCGAGATTCTTACAGCTGCTGTGTCAGTGATGCTTTGAAGAGTTAAGGTTATGTTGCATCCTCGGGGGACCTTATCTGTCCCGTCGCGGCCCTGTCCGCGTCGAATCCGTGTCGAATCCATGTCGGACGCGTCGGATCCGTGTCGAATCCGTGTCGAATCCGCGTCGAATCCACGCCAAATCCGCGTCGAGTCCGCATCGAGCACGCGTCGGGCCCCCCAAAAGACACCAATTTTTGGGACAGGCGAGGTCCCCCGAAGATGCAACATAATTAAGGGTGCACGCGTCTGGCTGCGCTGCGGGGCGCAACATTCGGGAGGTCGGCGGTGATCACGTCGGGTCCCGGTTGCTGCCTGAGCTCGACGCTCTTGAGGAAGGTGATCGCGCGTGGCTGTGTGATCACCTGATCCACGCACAGTCGGGGCGTTGACCTAAGGAACCCTAAAGAAGGAACGAGGCCCCTTTTCCCACAAGTTAAACTTCGATTTCCGATCGAAAACATAAGGAAAACCTGAGGCAAACTGTGAAACACTTAAGGAACGTGGAGCCCCTCCCCAACGAAAAGGGTTCCTTCTTCAAGACCCCTACTGTAGGTGGATGGATCGGTGTGGTGAATTTGTTGTGTCAAAATGCCATAGCGCCCATAACGCGGTGGCACAGTCCGTGACGCTCGCTTCTTATTGGTGTGACATGTCTGGTGATATCGTTGCCTTGTTGTTGATCGTTGCCGAATACCCTCCCAATCGTCTTTGGAATCGGGAATTGCTCGTGCATTGGCCGCTCTTCTAACGGCTGTTCCATATCGCGGTGCTGCTTTGGCGCTTTCCATGCTGCTCTATGGTCGTGGAGGTCGCGTAGTTCTTAGGAAGAGTCTGCCAGTGTTGCGAGAGTTGCTATGTCTTGCCTGAGCCGACGTGCTAGTGGTGTTCGTGTTCTGGCGAAAAACGTTCGCACTGCTTGCCTTCCACGACTGATGCCGTGATGCGTCGCGGCGCATAGGGCAAGGAGCTGTCGACCTATGTGCTGGTCAGTTGGTCTGCCGTCAAATGGTGCTCGATGTCCTGATTGAACTTGTTGGTTTCGGTGCCCGTAGTCGTGCGTCGCTCTGGTCGTGGTACAACTATAGCGCATCTTTGTAATCTTACATCTGCTTCATGGCATCCTTGCAGATCTGCGCTTGACGTGAAGTCATATGCTGTAAAACGCTCTGTGGCCGCTGCTTGAAATAGGCTAGTTATGGTTTGGTGGTGTTCGTTGATTGGTGCATTACATAGTTCGAGTGGATGCGTGCCGAATGAAGTTGCACACTATGCATGCAGTGCCAAGTCCTGCATCCTGGTCGGAACTTGGCGAGACGTCTTATATGTTCAAGGCGGTGGGATGCTGCCTATGCCTGGTGCAACGACAATGGTAATGCGGTCGCCGACCGAAGTCTGCTAGGACGATGGCGGGAGGCCATTTGCTAGCTAATTCTCGAAAGGTGCCCAATCATCTGGCAGTGTGTCATGCGTCATGCCGGGCGCAAGGTGCACGTGCTACATCGATGATCTCGCTGAGGGGGGTGCGGAACGCTTGCTGACGGGTAATCGTTGTGGCGATGAGAGTACTCCACAATGGTTGTAGTCAATGTAGAGCTGTCGTGTTGGTGCGGTAGAGCATGGGATGGTCGTGCTAACTAGTAGGGCGCATCCGAGATTGGGTGGGTGATGGGGCGTAATGGACGGCATGAAAATGCATGCTGTGCTCTCGTCGCTCTTTGCTGCCGTCTCTGGCATCCCGAGGCAGAATTTCCGCAACCGCGACTGCACCCGCAAGTGCTGCCCTCCAATCATGCGGCGCAGAGTGCACAGTCTATGCAGTTAGTGTCCGTCGCCGCTAGCATCGACGCTAGCTCTGGGCGCTGTAAGTCGCCAGCTTGAGGTGAACTGTCGTGGCGCTAGTTTCGTAAGGCAGAACTCCTCGACGTGGCCGTTGTTGCTGCGCAGTGTGCTGAATCGCGCTGGCGGCAAGTGCTTTGTGTTCTGCTGTCGGTGCGCGCGGCAGTAGAAGCCGTCTGACTGCGCCAGCGGGTGCGCGCAATAGTCCGTGGCGTGATTTTCCTGGTGGAAAGTCCGATATATTCGTGAGTGGTCTGCAAATGGCGCCGCCATATTCTGGTCTGTCTGCGGGGACCTTGGGTCGGCAGCCGTTGTAAGAGCGCGATTTTTGCTGCTGCGCACGGTGGCAGATGTTCTGCAAGTGCGTCCGCAACTTCGTCCCATGGGTGGTCGTCGCGTCCATGGGTGTGGAGTCTGTTATAGTATTTGAGCCTTCTCTGAGCTATCCTGGCGATGGGGTCATCGCTGCGGAGGATAGGAGGATACGATGAGGAGGAGGAGGAGGAGGATAGGAGGAGGAGGAGGAGGAGGAGGAGAATAACTAGCTGGATCCGCGCGTCCGCTTGTGGAGGTGCGGAGGCTGCTGGGCGGTGCAGATGATGGCCCGGGCGGTGGCGCCCAGTTCCACGTTGGTGCTGTCGAGGCCGTCGTAGTCTATGTCGTTGTCAATGCAATGTGAGATGCTGCCCGTACAGGGCAGTTTTTATTACATCGGATGTTAAACAAATATTGGATGTTTAATACTGGATTAATTTATGAATAAATCAATGCATGAACTCATCGTTGTTTTTAATACTAAATCCCTGCATTTTTTAATACATGATCCGCACGCGGAGCATGCATTAGAAACGGCACCGTATAAAGTCCACGGAGAAACGGCATCTGCCCGTCGTGCTGCACGACGGCGAAAGTCAATATTGGGCCGGACCTGGTCCTTTGAGGTACGTAAGCCGTAAGGGTATAGTCAAGAGGGAAGTGCTATTCCGCTGATGCTGGCTGTAGACTTGTAACGTTGCTTGCGCAGCTGGGTGCAGGCTGATGCTGGATAAATCATATTGGAATTTGAAGCATCTGTTGAATTGGCGAAAGGCCGCGGGCAAGTGTTGGGGGATGTCTTGCCGTTGACGATAGGTGGTGTTGAGGATTGCTTGCAGTGGGGGCTCGGCGTCGCCTGCTTGTCGTTGCTCGCTGTCTTGGTGATATGTACGTCTCGTCTGGCCACTTGTGGAACCAAGCATGGGATTCCGGCCAGGTCGCCTGCTAGAGATTTGGCCGTTGTGGCCTTGCGGCGGGTGGTGGCACTGCTGTGACCTCTATGGTCTCTACCGCTGCAGTCGCACGTTGCGGTGCAGGCCTAGGTGGCGAGCTTGAGGCCTGCAATCTACCGCTGGGACCCGACACGACGTTGACCATGCGCTGTACTGCTGGCGGTGGTACCTCGCCAAAATGTTGCAGCGCGTCGCATTCCCTGGCTGCCTTGCGTTGCTGTGTGGTGCTGACGTATTTCGGTGTGTCACCTGCTGGCAATGAGTGCACGTCCGCTGTCGGGCCCCACTTCGGTGTCTGATGTGGTGGAGCCTGTGGAGGCGGGGCTCTTCGAGACTGCACTTTAGTGGAGGCGCATCGTGTGCCTTGTGATGAATCAGCTCGACCTCGTCACCCGTGTCTGTGTTCGCGTTGCTGCTGTTCTCCTGGCGAGTCGCCAAACCTTTGCAACGGTATGCAGGTGGTGCCGGGCTGTGTAGCAGTGCCGACGTCCGCTGTATTGTCGGTGGCGTCCTCCAGCTCCCGTTTTGGTCGTCGCCCTTTTTGTTATGCTTGTTCTGTTTGTTGTTGGAGTATTCGTCGTGATTGTCCTCCTTTATGCGGATGGCGTCGTCGATGTCATGGTCGAGTCCTGGTACAGATTGTCGCATTCCTTGTTGTACTGCACTTTGCTGTCGATCTTCCCGTCTGTGCATGGCTTGTCGTAGTGATGTCACCAGTTCTTTTTCGCGTTCGGTGTGCAACTTCTCGGACTGCAGCTGTATCGTGTCGTAGGTGCGTAGCGTCTTATGCTGGTTGCGCATGTATGCTTCATTCCCTTGTTTGTACTGCTGCGCTGTGCTGATCTACTGCTCATAATGCTAACTAACTCTGTGTAGTTGCTCAGTTGCACTCGTCATGATGAGGTGTGCTGCTTCTTGGTTCTGCTATCTGTTTAGCAAATCGCTCTATGTGTGTTGTAGGTGCTGCGCGGTCCTGACTGCTGCATGTGCTGCCATGACCTGGCTGTCAAATGCGACTTGTGCTTGCGCTCGCTCTTCGATGTAGAATGCATGCTGTCAGGTGTGGTCCTGGTGATGCAATACATACCATGCTGTTTGTTGTGCTTCTTGTACAATTTCTTGCTCTAAGGAGTGGGTTTCCTGCTCTGCAATCAGTTGGTATGGTCTGGCTTGTTGTGTTTGCTATTTGCTCTGCTTGCTCCAGTTGGTAGTGCTGGTATATCTGCTGTATGGTATGCCGCATGCGTTTTTCGGTGGCTTGTTCAGCACGTTGTAGAGGGTTCGTTCGTTGTCCGCGTAATGATGCCATAACAGCCTCAAACTGCATCCGGATTGCGTGATGTGAGAGGTGGGTGGCGATGTAGTAATCGGTCTGGGCTTGGAGGTCACGCAGCTGTGTGTTCGTTCGTTCTCCCACTCCCCGTCCTCGTCCTCGTCCTCGTCCTCGCGATCTTTCCCCTCCCGTCCAGCCCTCTTCCTCCTCCGCCAGCATGCCTTGCGGCCCCCCCCCCAGGCCGACAGTCGTGAGAGAGAGAGAGGGAGATCTCAGGCACAGCTGCGGAAGACCAGGCGCCTGCTCCGGAGCTGGTGCGCAGGTCGTAGAGATACACTGTGTGCAACGGCAGGCTGCAGGGTGCAGCGGCAGCGTGCTGCAGGGTGCAGCGGCAGGCTCTGCAACGGCCAGGGTCCGTGCAAGTCAGAGGTACACTGGCCAAGGTGGTGAAGCAAGCAGCTTTTAGTACAGTTCTGGCGGCTCTGCCGTGGGACGAGTCTGCCAAGACCACCACTCAAAAGGCGGTCACCAAAGAGGCCTCAAGAGGCGCCCCAGAGAACCCCAGGACCTCAGGAGGACCTCTCAAAGACCCAGATGCCGTGGCGGGGTGGGCCGCAAGCCACTGGATAGAAACACCTCCCCCGTCGCACCACCGAATGTGTGGGCAGTGCGGGCCGGGCGCTTCGTCGGAGACCTCCTCGCAACTTTTGGCCGCTAAACCCGGAATTCCCTGCGGCCAAACCAAATGGAGGGCGCCCCGTCTTCACCGTGAGCTGTTGCGCTCGCGCCGCGCACACGCGCCCCGCAAGCCCGCAGCACCCAGACGGCCGTGCAGGGCAGGACACTCTCGCAGCGCGGCACTCGCCTTCCGCGTCGCACACGCTCGCCCCTGGAGCTCGCAGCAGCAACACGGACGAAGGGCGGGCCGCCCTCAACACGGGGTTCTCGCCCGAGCCCCGCGCACGTGCGCCTGCCGACCTCGCAGCAGGTGCACGGGTGCAGGGCGACACGCCGTCAGGAGGGCGGCCCTGCCGCGCGGCGCGGCCTCGCACGGCGGGCGCGCCGCAGCCGCGCGCGTGGAGGGCGGCTCCTGCTCACCGTGGGCTGCCACAGGTGCTTCCCATGCGCATGCTGTATACAGAGCGTCGGGGCTGCGTTGTTGGTGAAAAGCGACCTCGGGTCTTGACGAACAGAGAGTGTCGGGGCCGAGCTGGCGGCACCCCTCGGTCCTGACGAAGGACATGTCGGAGCTGAATTGACGATTGCCTTCGCCTTAACGAACGTAGTCTTGGGGCCGACTTGACGACCGTTCTGGGCGCTTCTCCAGACATGCGCCGTCTCAGCCACTGGGTTGGACTCAGTGTATATATGGCGTGTTGAGCGAAACCCAAGCACTTCCCACATCTCCACGGATGGAGGGACACTCCTCATCAAGAGGGGGCAATCGGTCGACGTGTCCTTCAACGGGATGATCCCCCACGTCCTGTGTCTCCGAGCTGGAGGGGCGGAGGATGGTTCACATATGGCATGGGGCGCCCGCATCTCGAGGCGGCGCTCCCTGCAGTGAACAGAAAACCGTGCAGGGGGCTCACGAGGAGGAGCCTTGGGACGGGAGGCTGTGCTGCAGCGTCGCCGATTCAGCCTGGGGTTGCCCTGATCCTCCTGCTCCTCCTGCTCCTCCTCTGGTCTCGCCTGCTCGTCCTCTGGTCTCTCCCCCATCCCCTCCCCCTCCCCCTCCCCCTCCCCTCCCCCTCCCCCTCCTCCCCCTCCCGCCTCCTCCTCCTCCTGCTCCTCCTCTTCCTCCTCCTCCCCCTCCTCCTCCGCCTCCTCCTCCTCCTCCTCGTCCTCGTCCTCCTCCTCCTCCTCCTCTGTCCTTCTCCTCCGCCAATAATGCGGCAGCCAGGGCTCAAGGCTGGGGCCAAGGGCACAAAGCAGGCCGCGCCCGTGCTGCGGACCTGCATTTGCGGCAAATCCTGCGGGGCAAGGCGGCGTGCACGGTTTCCCCCGGGGCCGTAAGCGACCCGACGAGGAGGAGGGGGAGGAGGAGGAGGAGGAGGAGGAGGAGGAGGAGGAGGAGGAGGAGGAGGAGGAGGAGGAGAGGGAGGAGGAGGGAGGAGGAGGAGGAGCAGGAGGAGGAGGAGGAGGAGGAGGAGGAGGAGTGGGGAGGAGAGGAGGAGGAGGAGGAGGAGGAGGAGGACGGGTCGCCTAAGCCCTTCGGAGAAACCCTCCAGGCGGGACCACTCATCTGAATTGCATCCTCCCGTGTTGTTCACTTCGTTATCCAACTCCGGGTCGGGCCTGAATCGGATCGGTCGGTTCGAAGTGGACCCTGCCTGGGGGGGCTTCCTCCTGTTTGCTCTGCGCAGAGCCCTCGGTCCCCCGCCCTGGCTGGCTCCTGTCGGGTGCGCCGAGGAAGGCCCAGGAGGAGCTGGGTTGGCGCATCGTGCTCCGAGGCACGTGCGCGCGGGCGAGGGGGGGGCCAGGGGACGTGTTGAGAGAAGAGGAGCAGGAGGTGGTAGTGGAGTCTGGGGCATGGACCCGGTCATATCCACACATCCCTAGTCCGCATCCCCCTCTTGGGCACCACGCGGCTGGGGGTCACAACGCGGGCCTCCGGCGGCCCTTCGGGGCGACTCCGGCGCCCCCAGAGAGCTCTCGCCGAGGCGCAGCTGCCGGCAGTCCTCCCAGGGCGAGAAGACCCCCCAGAGTACACCAAGACATCTTCCAGGAGTCAACGACGGAGTCATCGCCCTCCTGCTCCTCACCCCTCATCACGATGTCCACGCGCGCCTCGCCCTCGTCCTCTCCTCCCTCCCCCACGCAGCCAGTGCTGCCGACTGCATGCTGCATGAATGAATCGCACAGGGCCAGTGGCAGGCGAGCTGAAGCTGAGCACCCGCCGTCCGATGCCATGCCCCAACCGCCCACGCGCCTGCGGAACACACGGGGCCTGGAGGCGGCCAGGGGGCCCGCACTGGAGGGACCTCGAGAGAATCGGTCAGGAAGCGGGGGAGCACGGCAGATGCGCTCCAGCTCGGTCCCCGGACCCCTCCTCCCCCCGGGCTCCCTCCGGGGCAGTGTTGCACTGGCTCGCTCTGGCCAGCCTGAAGTCGGGCCTGCCCCCTACAGGGGGATTGTCGACAAAAAATAAAAAAAATACCCCAAAAAGAATCAACAAAAATAATGTGGGGACCATTTTTTGCATATTTTTTCGCCATTTGGGATTTTTTTTCGGGGTATTCTTAATTTTTCATCGACAACCCCCCTGCAGGGGGACAGGCCCGACCTAAGGCCAGCCCCGGGGTCCGGAAGCGGCTCCTGGAGACCGAACAGGGGCCAACAAAAAACCGTCCCGCCCGAACCCAGCGCTTCGACCCTGCCCCCCGGTTCCCGCCGGCGGGAACCAGTGCTGGGCCATCCCAGACCCCCAGACGGCTCCAACACGGGGTGTGTTTCTTCTTTTTTGTTAGCATGATTAGTATGATTAATCTTATTATCCTTCTTATTATTATTTTTCTTCTTTTTCTTGGTACTATTCCCAACCATCCTGTGGTGTTGGGTCCTCGTTTTGAAGAGACGGGGCCCGCGTTTTCCTTCCTTCCTCCCGCTGCCTCCCCCCCCCTCCCATCATCATCATCATCATCATCATCATCATCATCATCATCATCATCATCATCATCAACAACACCCATTTCGGCACACCCCTCACACGTTTCGTGGCTCCACAGGGAGCTCCACCGAAATCCCCAGTGCCCGCGGCCGCATGCGTCCCCCACACCCATTTCGGCACACCCCTCACACGTTTCGTGGCTCCATAGGGAGCTCCACCGAAGGCCCCAGTGCCCGCGGCCGCATGCGTCCCCCACACCCATTTCGGCACACCCCTCACACGTTTCGTGGCTCCATAGGGAGCTCCACCGAAGGCCCCAGTGCCCGCGGCCGCATGCGTCCCCCACACCCATTTCGGCACACCCCTCACACGTTTCGTGGCTCCATAGGGAGCTCCACCGAAGGCCCCAGTGCCCGCGGCCGCATGCGTCCCCCACACCCATTTCGGCACACCCCTCACACGTTTCGTGGCTCCATAGGGAGCTCCACCGAAGGCCCCAGTGCCCGCGGCCGCATGCGTCCCCCACACCCATTTCGGCACACCCCTCACACGTTTCGTGGCTCCATAGGGAGCTCCACCGAAGGCCCCATGCCAGCATGCGTCCGCATCACACCGTGGCTCCATAGGGAGCTCCACAAGGCCCCAGTGCCCGCGGCCGCATGCGTCCCCCACACCCATTTCGGCACACCCCTCACACGTTTCGTGGCTCCATAGGGAGCTCCACCGAAGGCCCCAGTGCCCGCGGCCGCATGCGTCCCCCACACCCATTTCGGCACACCCCTCACACGTTTCGTGGCTCCATAGGGAGCTCCACCGAAGGCCCCAGTGCCCGCGGCCGCACGCGTCCCCCACACCCATTTCGGCACACCCCTCACACGTTTCGTGGCTCCATAGGGAGCTCCACCGAAGGCCCCAGTGCCCGCGGCCGCATGCGTCCCCCACACCCATTTCGGCACACCCCTCACACGTTTCGTGGCTCCATAGGGAGCTCCACCGAAGGCCCCAGTGCCCGCGGCCGCATGCGTCCCCCACACCCATTTCGGCACACCCCTCACACGTTTCGTGGCTCCATAGGGAGCTCCACCGAAGGCCTCCAGTGCCGCCGCCCGCATGCGTCACCCCCACCCATTTCGGCACCCCCCCCGCATTTCTCGCACGGCAGGGTCATCACCACGGTGGCGTGCCAGGGGCGCACCTTGCGCGAAGGCGACGGGGCGGGGGAACGGCGCTCCGGGGGCGGCCAGACCTCCGGGGCGCGAGCAGTCCGCGGCCAGACCATCTCTCGGTCCTGTGGACTCTCGCCCTGGGCCGTCGGCTGCCCGGCGCGCTGCTCCCTCGGTCGACGTCGCCCAGGCGTGATCCTGGATTGCGGCCGCCACGAGGTAGGGAACGGCAAGAAGGAGGACGACGACTGGTGGCTGGAGCTCTACGTGCTGCTCTCGCGCGCCACGCGCCACGAGGACCTCCTGCTCATGCGGGCGCCGCGCATCGAGTTCTTCCTGGCAGGGCCGCCGCAGGGCTTGCGGAAGCAGCTGGAGCAGTTTGCGGCGCGCACGAAGCGGTGCAGGAGGGAAGCGACGGCCCTCGCCAGGGAGCTCGGCTTCACCGAGTTCATCCGCGAGGCCTGACCTGAGGAGCGTCTCCCCCGAGCCGCGCCTTCTCTCGACTGCCCGACTAATTGTTTGGCCTCGCGCCGCGGACGACCCGCGCGCGTCGCTGGGACCCTCTCGGGGCGACCAGCGCGCGTCGCGGGAACTCCGTGCTGCGGGGGGCCCGGCGCCTCGTTCGCCCGTCGTCGCTCTGCCCAGCGGTCAGAGACTTGCCCGCTATCAGCCAGCCAGTTAGCTAGTCAGCTCTCTCTGCTTCGCGCAGCGGACGACCCGCGCGCGTCGCTGGGACCCCGCCCGGGGCGACCAGCGCGCGTCGCGGGGACTCCGCGCTGCGCTGCGCCCGCAGCCTTGGATTTTGGAGTGCGCGGGCAAAGAGGAAGGAAAAGAAGAGCCGAAAGCGGGCGCGATCCTCGCAAGAGGCGTGCCGACATGGGCGTCGCGACGTGCGGACGCTGCCGTCGGGGTTCCCGCGGAAGCTGCCTGCGGCGGCCACGCCCAGTGTCACGTGTGTTCGGACAGGCATGCTCGACACTTACACTAGGCGGTTCCATGATCGCATTCATGCAAATATATTCACTCGCGCGCAGACCCATTCATACTCAGATTCCCTCGCGCTCTGACTCACCCGCGTTCTTTCTCTCGTAATCAGATCTATCGTATTCCTTTGCGTTGTGTACCCCGCCACATTTCGGCACACCCCTCATGCGGTTCGTGGCCCCATAGGGAGCGCCACCGAAGAAGATACTCACAATTGCGATACTCACAACTGCATATGGTTGGGTCCTTCGCCAGGATATTTTTCTTATGTTTCTTATCATTCCCCTTCTTATTCTTTTCAGTATTAATATTGTTCTCGATATTAATATTGCTATTACCATATTAAAGGTTAGTATTATTATCATTGGTAGTAGTATGTTTCTTCTTAGTATTATGTTCTCATTGTCATCCTTCTTCTTCTTCTTCTTATGATGGGGAGTCTTATCTTTCTTCATGTTTTTGTTCCTCTTCTTCTCGGCGGCGAGCACGGGGGGAAGCGAAAAGGACGGGCCTCCTCGGAAGGCTGAAAAAGCCCCGGGCCTTCTGCGAAATGTTCCAAGCCTTCCCCGAAGACACAGCAAACTTCTCGAAGGCCGGAGGACTTCCGAGAAACCCCAGCGCCTTCTGCGAAAGCCCTCTCCCTCCCACTTCCCCCCTCGGCGCGCCGCCGACATTCGTTTTCTTCTTCTTTTTTCGGAATATCGCTAATACTAGCGTTACGACGAAAATGATGGTTATCATTATTTGTGTATTAAGAGTACGATTAGTATTATGGTCAGTTGTATTACGAATAGTATTGCCGTTCTATGAATAGCTGTATGAAGCTAAATTATTGTCTACTACCACTAGAACTAAACATATCACTACTTGGTGTGATGACTACTTTGCTTACGTGTCAGTAGTAGTGATACTCGACGACGAAGTAGTGGTAGTAGTAGTAGTAGTAGTAGTCGTAGTAGTAGTAGTCGTCGTAGTAGTAGTAGTAGTAGTAATAGTAGCCGTCGTCGTATTAGTAGTAGTAGTAGTAGTAGTAGTAGTAGTCGTAGTAGTAGTAGTAGTAGTAGTGATAGTAGTGGTAGTAGTAGTAGTAGTAGTAGTAGTAGTACTAGTAATAGTAGTAGTAGTAGTAGTAGTAGTAGTAGTAGTAGTAGTGGTAGTAGTGGTAGTAGTAGTAGTAGTAGTAGTAGTAGTAGTAGTAGTCGTAGTCGAAGTCGTAGTCGCCGTAGTAATATCAGCAATAGTAGTAGTAGTATTAGTAGTAGTAGTAGTAGTAGTGGTAGTAGTAGTCGTAGTCGTAGTAAAGTAGTAGTAGTAGTAGTAAGTAGTATATTAGTAGTAGTAGTAGCACTTAGGTATAGTAGTGGTCGTGTAGTGTAGTATTAGTAATTGGTAGTAGTAGTAGTAGTAGTAGTAGTAGAAGTAGTCAGTAGTAGTAGAGTAGTAGTTAAGTGGTAGTGTGCGTAGCGTAGTAGTAGTAGTAATAGTGAATGTAGTAGTAGTCGTATTAAGTAGTAGTAGTAGTAGTAGTAGTAGTAGTATCAGCAGTTGCAGTAGTAGTAGTCATCGTAGTAGTAGTAGTAGTAGTCGTAGCCGCAGCACGGGTATTAACAGTAGCACTGGTAATAACAATTATGACCGTAGTCGTTGTCGTAGTCGTAGTCGCAATAGTAGTAGTAGTAGTCGCAATAGTAGTAGTAGTAGTAGTGGTAGAAGTAGTGGTAGTCGTGGTAGTAGTCGTAGTAGTAGTAGTAGTAGTAGTAGTAGTAGTAGTAGTAACAGTAAGTAGTTATAGTAGGACAAAGTAGTAGTAGTAGTTACAAGTAGAAGTACTAGTAGTAGTAGTAGTAGTGGTAGTAGTGGTAGTAGTAGTAGTAGTATAAAAATAGTATATAGTATAGTATAAGTATAGTCGTCGTAGTAGTAGTAGTATGTATTAGTAGTAGTAGTAAGTAGTAGCAGTAGTAGTAGTAAGTAGTCGTAGTAGTAAAAAGCAGTAGTAAAGTAGTCGTAGCCGTAGTCTGACCGTAGTAGTAGTCGTAGTAGTAGGAGAGTAGTAGGAAGTAGGGTAGGCTTAGGATTAGGAGTAGGAGTACTGAGTAGAAGTAAGTAGTAGTAGTAGTAAGAGTAGTATTTTTGTGCACTTAGTAGTCAATAGTAGTAAGTAGTAGTAGTAGTTATTAAGTAGTCGTAGTAGTAAGTAAGTAGTAGTAATAATAATAATAATAATCCGCCGACTCCTGTCGCCGTGTTGTGAAAAACAGACGGAAAAAAAGGGGCTTCTCCGTTCGACTCGTCGTCTCCGTCGTCTCCGTTCTCCCCCTCCCAGGGCTCTCCTCCTCAAGCGCGCTATCCAAAGCGAAATTAAACGACGTCGTAATGTGTGTGAGGGGCTTCTCCGTTCGACTCGTCGTCTGCGTCGTCTCCGTCCTCCCCCTCCCTGGGCTCTCCTCCTCAAGCGCGCTGTCCA